ATGTTCACACTGCAAGTCAGATCCTCTGGGCTTCGCTCTCTCGCTTTATGCAAAACAGCTTGCTATGATCGGAGGCCGCCTTTATTAACAGGGAGCAACTGGTCTGGTTTGAATCTGCCGCCTGCCCAGGTTTCTTGGTTTCTGATCTGAACCTGTTGTCTCCAATGGACTTCAGGTTCTTGTTTTAACCCGCGGCCTCTCTGGGTTACTGTGTCTTGTCCTGACCTGGACCTGCTGCCTGTCCAGGTGACCTTGTCGTGTTCTGACCTGAACCTGCTGCCTGTCCAGGTGACCTTGTCGTGTTCTGACCTCAGCCTTCTGTCTCTCCGGGTGATTGTGTCTTGTTTTGACATGAACCTGCTCCCTGTCCAGGTGACTGTGTCGTGTTCTGACCTGAGCCCGCTGCCTCTGTGGGCGACTGTCGTGATCTGACCTGACCCTGCTGCCTGTCCAGGTGACCTTGTCGTGTTCTGACCTGAACCTGCTGCCTGTCCAGGTGACCTTGTCGTGTTCTGACCTGAGCCTTCTGTCTCTCCGGGTGATTGTGTCGTGTTCTGACCTGAACCTGCTCCCTGTCCAGGTGACTGTGTCATGCTCTGACCTGACCCTGCCGCCTCTCCGGGCGGCCGTATGGTACTAAGGTCTGAGCCGCCGCCCCGTGCCGCCACCTCTCCAGGTGATGGCGTACGACGCCTTCCTACGGGAGCACGGCGGCCTGAGCGGCGGCTGGGACGAGACCGACCACGCGCTGTTCCTGAAGCTGCGTGCCCGCCACCGCGGCGTCGCGCGGCAGTGCCAGGCCATGGCGCAGCAGATTCCCAGTCAGTGAACAGCCCCAGCAGCTCCTGTCGGCCACCACGCCGTCAGAATCAGCTTAGGCTTCATGTCTGTGTTCGTGTGTGTTCATGAGCGCATACCTATAACCGGAGTAGCCTGAAACAGACACTCAATTCAAAAGTTTGGCCAGCAAGCATTGCATGACGAGGATGTTGATACTACGCCGAATGTCTCGCTGTCCCAAAGTCAACAGGCACGTCCCCCCCCCCCCGCCCCCGCCTTCCTAAGCGCACCACCCTTCGCCTCGTACGCCACGCGCCCACCAGCCAGCCCACGTTACTGATAGCGGGCTGCGGGTGGTCGTCGGTGGCGACTGGCACGATGCCCGAGCGTGCCGGCCGACGGCGGCGCCGCCTGGAACCGTCACCGGGCTACGTCCTGACGGCGCCGCCGACCCCCGCCGTCCACAGCCCGCAGCATGGCCGAGATCGTGGAGCACGTGCAGTGGCACGAGCAGCTGCAGTCGCTGGCCGAGGAGCGTCGCCGGGCGGTGCGCGGCTGGCGGGAGGCGCGGCGGACGCAGACGGCGCACGCCGCCGACACCGAACCTCAGCCTCAGCCCCAGCCCCAGTCCCGGGTCAGTCAGCGGCGGCGTCTCTGCGGAGCGGGCCGGCGGCCAAATTCTCTGCCGGACGCGTGCTGGCTCGTTAAAACTCTTCGCCGCAGCGGAGTGGGTATTCCGGATTGGTTGCGTGCATGAAACGCTGCGCACCGGCGATGCTGGGTGCGTGCCAATCTGCGGTGCCAGTCTGCGCCCATCGCGAACTGCGTTTGGGTGCTGTGCGGCGATCTTCGTGGTTCCGCCCTCTGCTTCCAACTGTGTCATCTGGTCTGCGTATTATTCAATGTTCGTACTGGATAATAACATTATGAAGTAACGCAGTTTTGTCGGGGACAGATCTATCACTAATACTATCCCCGATTGTATCGCCAGAGTCACAAAGCAAAATGTGATGTGTCGACTCGGCCTGCCTATCATGCAGGCGGAGTCGCCTGGTTCTCGTCCAATACGCCTGTTCCTGACTCAAGCCGTGCTTGGGTGGCCGGCGCCGCCTCTAACAATGCCCTGAACTCCCTCACAGCCGCTCGCGGCCGAGAGCGGCGGTCGCCCCATACGTCGCCGGCCTGCGCAACCGCGCCCGGCCGGCCCGCGCCGCGAGCGCCCCGCCTCCGCCGCCGCCGCCGCCTCCGCCGGCAGCGCCGGCGCGGCTGCGCTGGGAGCGCGAACAGCGCGAGCGGCGGGCGGCGGCTGCCGAGCACCGGCAGCGGCGCCGAGAGGAGGAGCAGCACGCCCAGCGACGTCAGCAGCAGCTGCAGCAGCAGCAGCGACAGCTGCGCGGCCGGCTGGCCTCTAAGGCACTGGAGGTCTACCGGTCAGTCAGGAGCGGCGCTGCTCGGACGGCAGCCCGCAGACCGCCGCGCCGCCGTGACGCCTCCCCCCCCCCCCTTCCTCACCGCGTTACTCATTCGGCGTACGTGTTCCCTGTTCCTTCGTTTGTGCTCGGACGCTGCTTGTTTGCTTTTTTTGCATCGGCCTCTTTCGTTGAAACAGTCGTTCGCTTGCAGTGGGTTTGAAAGAAGTCCTTGTGCTTCGTACGTTTTGCCGATCGCCAACAACTACGTTGCCGCGGCACTTCAGGTCAATTCATTCATAACGATTCTACAGCTATGGGCGCTCGCACCATTTCACACCGCGTGGCTTTTCCCCACCGTTTCCCGCTGTTGGATGCCCGCCTGCTGAGCTGCGCTGCCGGCCCGCCTGCAGCCCCCTGAGCAGCTCAGCTGATGCGCCGTACCGGTGGTGTGCAGGCGGCGTGACGCGGAGCAGATGGCGCGTCAGAGGGTGGCGCGGCTGGAGAGGGCGTCCCAGCCGACCCGGTCGCCGGTCCGGCCGGCGCCGGCGCGCCCCGCTGCCCGGCCCGCCTGCTGGCCGAGACCAGCGCCACTCGTCGACGGCGGCAGGCGGCGGAAACACACCCGGGTCCGGTTAGCGTCGGCTTGCTGGCCGCGTCGCGCAGGTGAGGTTGGCGGGATGCTGTGCTGGGCGGACGGCGCTGAGCACGCCTTCATCGGTTGTTTTGATTTTGTTTGGTCGTGATCCAACGAACGCAAGATGTTTGTTTTTGCTTGAAGAGCTTAATAGGCCAGGCATCATCATCTCCCTAACCCCAATATGCGTCATTGATTCCACGACTGACTAGTTAATTAAACCGTACAGGCATTATTTCAGGCAATTTACCACGCCGCGTTCGACTGTCGCCTTTGCTACGACGAAAGCTTGCTGATGACACCGTCTCCCCTGGACGTTTGAAAGCTGGATGGTTGATGCGACAATCACCACAGGCCGGGAACCCATAGCGGCCAGGCTGCCCCCGCTATCTGCTGCTTCTCGTCGGTCTGTGGTGTATTCTTGCCGTTGTGTGTTCTACATGTCATTGCTCCTCGGTGGGATCCGTGGAATGACCTTCGTGTTCTCATTCGTGTTTCTCGTGCGTCGCCGCTTCTCATCGGGTGGTGCGGGTCTCTCCAGGGCCGTCCCGCTCTGGCGAACCGGATTGTAACGCCACGCGATCACTTCTCGCCAGAAACAAGTATGTAAGTACCAAGTGCTGTTTTGAGAGCACCGAGTGTAAGGCAGCACGAAATTGTGCCGCTCGCGCACGCTCGCGTGCGATGCGGATGGGCGTTTCCGGCCGGTGGCCTCCCGGAGCCTGCCCGCATGGCAGGCGGACCGGCCGTCGGCGCATGGTGACCTCTCAGCCATGGTCTAACCCGAGCTGGCCAGCTGCCCGCCGCTGAAGGTGCTACATTGGAGACGTGTTAATACATTTTAAACGTTACATCTGTGCTTGTGTGTGTAGGGGACGGGGTAATGGTCGAGTGGTCAGCACACTGAACCTCTTACGTATGGGGCCGGCCCTTGCCAAATGTCAGTCAGCTGGGACTGGAAAGTGACATCTTGTAGAATAACTTGTATCTGCGTGAATCGAGCCCCGTCCTGCCGCGCGTGACTCGTGCGCTGTCGCCCTACACTGCCAGCCAAAGCAACCCTTCACGCTCTGCCCTGCCCCGCCAGCAGTCGGCCCCCGCCCCGGGCCGAGGTCAGAGACCGTCACTCCGTCGTCCTGACACGACCTCCCCAGCCGCCAGGCGGCGCCACCGGCAGCATGTGTCTCCCTCTGTATTGCGAGACGCGGCACCCGACCAGCCGGCGCCGCCAGAGCCGGGTTGTACAACAGTGGCGCGGTTTCGGCACGGTCCGCCGTCCACAATATCACAGCGGCTCGCGGCGGCGCCACACACACGCTGCGTCTGGCCGCCGGCCGGCACAGTGGCCGTGCGGTCGACGCCTGAATTGCGGCACGCGCGCACACCTCCGAAGACGCAGTACGTGTACGGCGAGTCAAGATGTTGTACCACGGTATGTAAGAATAAACCCACAGGCTCTGAATCAGCAGACGTCGATACACTGACACGTCAATGTCATGATAAGAGGCGTAAAGCTAGGCGTTTTACTTTGAAGCAAAATATCCGCGGTAGCAAACTATGCGATCTGTACATATATTTGTTTAAGCATCGTCTGTACCCGGTCCGTGGGCCAGAAAAAAATACCGAGACCTTACAAACCACCTCGGCTATATGCATAGTGGCAGAGGCTCCAATACCAAGCAGGTAGACATGACAGTGCGTGACATTAGTGGTCTGTTATTTGCAACTTCATCGATATCTCATGACCACTTCTGTTTCACTGAGCTTGCGCTTTCGTGCGGCTAATCGTCACAGTACCTAGTAGATGAGCGTCGTCCGTCGATCGTTCTAACCATAATGGGCTCCTCAGTGGTCAGTGGTGTGCACGCATTTGAATTCGCCCTTCATCACAAAATAATTCACATGCCCCTCCATGCAAATTCCTTCACATCCAAGACACTTGGCGGATACCAAACACCACGGGGAGCTCGTACCTCCTCGACAATGCGGGCATTGTCTACACGTAGATATTCGGAGCATTAAACATCATATTACCACGACGGGGAGGTCGCAATCTCCATGTCATTACTAAAGTTGTTATTTAACGCTGGCCTGGGGCGGCTCTCCCTCGCGCCTGACAAAAGCTTGCCCCCGGACCGACCCGCCCGGCCCAGCCGCGGCCGCCTGACCGCCGGTTACCTGTGCATGAGCGTCTCGGCCCGCGCCAGCACAGTGCGGATCTCGACGGGAGGGTAGCTCTGCAGCAGCTTCATGTTGTGCGCGAAGTCGCCCGACATCAGCTGGTCCCGTATCAGGCTGGCGGGGCGCGGCGGCGCGGTCATGTCACTGTGGCTGCCGCTGCAGGTCAGGCGCGTGAAAACGCCGCTAATCGTAAGAGAAAGCCCGTCTCCGGATGATGCCTCAGCCGGGCGGGGGGGGGGGGGGGCAGTTAAAAAGGCTGCTCTCGGGAGCATCTGGAGGTTTTCAAGCGCGTATAACACGGACAATAAGGTCATTACTTAAGGAAGATCACAATCCTCGTCAGGTATACAGATCGAATAGTTTTCAATGCATGATAAACATGCTGTTGGACACGATACTCTGCTGCTAACGCGCGAAGGCTATTGGAACATCAACTCACACCATCATGGCGCAGCAGACTTCTGTGAGGAAGTTGAACCGCTTCTCGTCGGCGAAGAGCGAGTCCCAGATGCGGATGACGTCTGGCAACGTGAACTCTTGCGACAGGAGTAATGTCATCCACCTGACGGACCGCGCGAGTCGAGTCAAATACCTCCACAGGACGCCCGGTGAGCCGCCGCGAGCCGCGGCAAGCCCACGCGCCACGGAACACGGCAGACGAGCTCGTGAGGCGTCACGCGCTCAGGCCCCAGCGGGGCGGGGAACCACGAGCCAGGCCACATCCGCGCCCTGTCCGGTTCTGCTTGCTGCGGATCAGCACCCGACGGTCGCTGGCTGCCGCAGGCGGGCAGACAGCCCGCAGGCCGTCGCCTCAGAGGCCCGCCGCGGCGGCACGGTGCGGCTTTGGGGACCCGCCGTGGCGGCAGGCCGACCGGCACGCAGGTACGGCTCCGCTAAACCCCCTGTGCCAACGCACAGACGACGGGAACCGCCTGGCTCCGACTCGGACGGGAGGGCTCCAGACGGCTTCATCGTCGGGCGGCGAATCCGGCGCGAGCTCCACCTCCGTGTGTGTCATTGGGGCTTTACGACGCACTCAGCTGCTCAGGCTATATGGCGCCGCCTGCCTCTCACCCTGGCAGGAAAAGCGGGCACCGCGGAGAATCGAACCCCGTACTTCTGGCTTCCCAGATGTGCAGGGGTTCCCAGACCACTGGCGCCCCCGGAGCTCCATCTCCGCAGCCGAGCACGAAGTGTCCCCTGGGCGCCCCTCAATCCGCCGCGAGGTGGAGCGACTCACCGGAAGGCGAAGTACTGGGGTCGCAGCTCCTGCACGCGCAGCCGGACGGCCAGGTGCGGGTCGTGCTGCTGCAGCCGCTCCATCAGCAGCCGCAGCCGGTAGTTGATGCCAGACTCCGAGTCGTCCAGCGTCTTGATGAAAAAGTCGCGGATCTCCGACATCAGGTTGGTGAACACGCCGAACGTGTCTGCCTCGGCGTGCTCTGGAGGAGCGGGCCACCGGCCCGACGCCCACGGTCAGTCTACGACAGGCGTGTTCGGCGCCTGCGTCGCCTTGGCTACCAGCGTTAATCTCCGAACAAACCGTGAGTGGTGTTCCAGAGTGTTTAAACAGAGCGTTTGGGACTCGCCACTCCATTCGCTGCTATGCTACTGTCCTTTAAAATAATTTGTCCATGGAGGCCCGTCACTCAGGAGCATACTACAACGTCCCGTAGTTTGATGAGCGATGTTTAGGACGAGTGCATCACCGCAACAGTTGAAAAGCGTGTTACCAGCTAAGTGTGATGGCCTGACGCGGCAGCGGTGGTGAGCTGGGCGGCTCGGCGGTGCCCTCTGCTCACCTCTCCACTTCGTGTCGGGATCCGAGGCGAACGTGTAGTAGATGGGGCCGATAATCTCGTTCATTGCCCTGCACGTAGCTCTGGCCGGGGTTGAGCTTCGCATACAGGAAGAGCACGCGCTCCACCACCTCCCAGTGGGCCTCCTGACCCAGCGGCAGCGGCACGTAGTCCATGTCCGACGGGCGCAGCTTCGAGTCCACCATCTGAGAGCAAAACGACGGGCGGACGCAATGACAGTGACGCACGTGACGGGGAAATGTATGTTCAAACTGAGTCAAGAACGTGTATGTAGCCTGTCTTATTCCGGGACCTGTAAGGACTAGGCTATTCACCCACTTGTTGCATTCCAAATCTGTGGTTTTCTATAACTGGTTTGAAGCAGAAATAAAAGCTGAACAGAAAAACAAGAAATGGTTTTCGCCCCCCCCCCCCCCCCCTCTCTCTCTCTAAAGCCCAAGCTTCGAGTTCGAGTGGGGTTGACAGAAAACATTGCATAACAAGTAGGACACAGCCATGAATAAACATAAAACGGCACTACTCAATGCAACAGAAAACATACCTATTCTTCACATCTGTCACTTCCTCTGCATACCATAGCATACCAATGTCGGGCTATATTCACTAGTCACTGAAGCATATCAATAGCAAAACATCGCAGCGATGATTGATTACAAACATTGACTGACATGATTTCATGCCGTTATTACTTTGTTCATGCCCAGCCCGACGCGGCGCACGTTAGACGAGCTGAGGTAGACACGGTCGACGCGCTCGTGCAGCCGTTCGTGGTAGTCGCCGCAGACCACCTCCCGGCAGGGGTACTCGGTCGGCTGCTGGAAGAAAGAGATGTCCGGGCACAGTCGCCTGCGGCAGAGGACGATGATCCGGTTAGGGGCATCGGCGGTGCTGAGACGAGCCCTTCCTGATCCGGGTGTGCTGCTCAGCTGGTTACAGACTGGACCAAGCCGAAATACAACAGGATCCTGCGGCGATCTCCGCCTGATTTTCCGCGTACGAAAAGCCACCAAAGCGCAGAGAGCAAATGGCCGGATGAGTCTGTGCAATATGCCGAATACTGCATCAACACTATGCCATACATAAAGGAAGACCACAGATCAATTGCAATTGTTAACCTTACTCCGGACGCCTACAAAAAGTGAACGGGACCACAAGTGGCCACGTGCTGCTGGCCAAATGGTCAGGTGCGCCATTTCACGCGGTTGCGCGTCCGTTGGCGTACATACTGACCTGACGTCCTTGTCGATCTGTCCGAGCACGTCGTTGTCCTTGAAGAAGGCCTGCCACTGTGAGTCGGGGTCGAGGCTGAGCGGATGGTCACGCTCCGTGACGTCAACGCGCGACGGTACGCTGCCGTCCGCTCGCCCGCCCGGCCGCACCACCATCTCACCTGACCGCCGCGCAGATACAACACTCAATGATCATCATTGAAAAGACAGCAGTAAACAATCAAAAGGCACCAAAACCACTGTCATCCCATTAACTAATGTGGCTGTAGTGAAGTCGGATGGGCACCAGATGCAAGGCACACTTGACTTCTACTTGCGTCACATCTGCTGCCACTGCAGCCAAATCTGCCCCGTCCCCAGGATGTCCCGCAGTAAGTCTCTCCTGGTGTCGCATTTGTTACCACTGCAGCCAGGTGAGCCCCAGGATGTAGCCACATCAGACTCCTCTGAGCGCAACACTGTATACCAGACGCCTTCCTCCAGTACAGCTATCTAGACCGCAACCGGCCCGTATCACGAGCGTGTGGCGAGCTGAGCAGGCCGGCCGGAGACTCACGGACAAAGCGCCGGTAAGTGTCACGCTGTCCGCGGAGCGCCTCGTCCCAGGCGGCGCGGCTCGGCGGTAGGTAGTTGAGTAGCAGCTTCCAGCAGAGCGCACGCCGACCCTGCTCCACAGGAATGCCTGCCCCCAGCCATCGGAGGTGTTACCCACATTGTCACAGCCACGGCAACAGCCAGCAGAGCGCATACGGACCCTGCTCCACGGGAATGCCTCCCCCTGCCGTGGGAGGTGTTACCGACACTGCCACAGCCACGGTAACAGCCAGCAGAGATAAAACCTGCACCCCGACCCTGCTTCACGGAATGCCTGCCTCCATGCATCGGAGGTGTTACCGACACTGCCACAGCCACGGTAACAGCTAGCAGAGTGCACCCAGACCCTGCTCCACGGGAATGACTGCCCCCAGCCATCGGAGGTGTTACCGATACTGCCACAGCCACGGCCACAGCTAGCAGAGTTCACCCAGACCCTGCTCCACGGGAATGACTGCCCCCAGCCATCGGAGGTGTTACCGACACTGCCACAGCCACGGCAACAGCTAGCAGAGTTCGCCCAGGTCCTGCTCCACAGGAATGACTGCCCCCAGCCATCGGAGGTGTTACCGACACTGCCACAGCCACGGCAACAGCTAGCAGAGTTCACCCAGACCCTGCTCCACGGGAATGCCTGCCCCCAGCCATCGGAGGTGTTACCGACACTGCCACAGCCACAGCAACAGCAATGCAGTGCGCCAAAACGATAACCACATAATTTCCCAGCAATCGTGACATATGTTATGCTTGCATGTCATGACACAATACATGTGATCAGACTGTTGTGTTGTATGCAGTTATTGAGAAAACCTGGGTAAAAATTGGACCTCACCTTGAAAACAGTATTTCCTGAGCTCCTTGAGACATATGATATCCTCATCCAGCATAACATCCAGTTCCTTCAACCTGTTTCAGTTGTAACAGTTACACCACAGTACTGGCATAGCAAAATAACATAGACTGAGTTATCAGAGCCAGGCATCAAACATGCCTAAAATAGAAGCTTGATAACAGATCTTAGAATGTGATTGGTATCCACACACATTACCTGGACCTTAAATGCAGTTTTGAGGCCAAATCGAACAATAGAGTTCAGACCACTATGCCGCACAATGATTGACAGAAAGCTCATTACCAGAGACTTTACACTTTAAACAATATAATTCATTGGAGTAAGTCATACACATTCTACCAACGTTCAGCATCATTGGTCGTGCTGCAAACAGAAATTAAACACCAAATGACACCAGCATTGTAATAGCAAACTCAGAGAGAAATTATGCATCATATGTGCAAATAGAAACACACCTGGCAAATCTTGAATCACTAACCTGGATTTGAATGATGTCATTTTAATCTCAAATGGACTACTTCCTGTGTCACAGCCTGAAAATGGAGGGCATTTTACTGGAAACTTGTCATTATTGTGTTTGCAAGGCATGACATATGCTAAAATCATGGGCCTTTTGAGTATTCTGGGGATACAAACTAACCAAAGAATGCTTCAGTTTTAAGCAGGTGTGGATTCAACACACCTGATTGTAATTTGTCTGTTTTATGTCCAAGGGCTTTACTGTAATGCAGCTATCAGAGCAATCATTACAATGCACATCACACTAGGTACAAATACAGCAATGTGCAGGGTCTATTGGGTTTTATGGGGCCATTGTGGACATTTATGCTGTGTTACAATTGGAAGAGGGAGTTTTTCAAGGAACACTACAGAAGTGAAACAAGGAAAGAAGGGGTAGGCTTTATAGAGTAAGGTTACATTCAGGAGTAGATGCAAATCATGGTAAAATCTTGAAAAACACTGATTTCTTTCAGCTAGAAGCCTCTGCCTCTGGTCATGAAAGGGAAGACACTTGTAATCCATTTGCACTTCTAGCTCAATTAAGGGTCACACAGGCATTTTGGGAGGTGTTATATTTAATAGCAGAACTTGAGGGAGTGGGGGGGGGGGGGGGTTGCCACCATAACCAATGCAACCATGATGGAGGAAAGATTGAGAAATGGTCAAAGATTTGTGACACAATTTAAAGATGGCTCCTTATCATTTTATGCAGGCTGCATTTTATTTTTCAGTATGGGTCCAACTCCCTGTAACTTTGAGAAGCAAGTGGCTAAATCATGGGAGAAAGCTGTTTGTTGTGCACTTTGGGGCTGGTTAGCCACTCACTACTACTGATCTCCATTCACTTATACTGTCAACTACATCCCTGCCAATTCTTTACATCTAGCCCAAGGGTATGCTATTGCCAAGTTCCTGCAGACCAGCATGTCTATGTAATAGAAGTAGCTTATGACAATGGGTCAGTTTTGTTAGGATTACACCATATGTGTTCTACTTTCTGTATTATTATTACTCCCAGTTCTGTACACATTCTTGGAAGCTGAATGTTACATATAGTGCCCATCACTTGTGCCCTGTGCATAAACTGAGCATGAGATGCATTTTTCAGCAAAGGTCCAGCATAGCAGCAAAGAAGCATCAGGCGACTCGCCAGTTTACGTTCAGCTTTATTTCCAAGGCATGCAAACTGGGGAACCACATGTCTGTTTTAGAACTGCTTGAGTCAACTAGTCACACACATTTAGGAAGTATTCACCTACCAGTCCCTGAAACATGGTTCAGCATCTCACATTCAGCAAAAGTTTTTAAGCGACCAAGGGTAACATTGATCAATTATTGCTTTAAGTGGGATTAACACTTTATTGTCTGCACTCATGTTATTCCAAAGATGACCACATTTGTTTCAAAAATGTTTGCACCATTGCTCTGAAATCCAGTGTTTTGAGCACAAGCCCAAGCCTATGCCCAATTTTTTACACATTTTGTTTTATCAGACACTCATTACTGGGTTTTCTCAAATTTGCAGTGGCTACGTAAAAAGGGAACTTACATACCCAATGAAGAGGTAGATCCAACTCTCGCGCAAACAGCAATTTTACGCAAAGCGCTGTCGCCGGAGGATACAGGAAACAGAACCGTTCCCTACAGAACCACCTTCTAGTGCTATCCAAGGCTATCTAGGGTATAGCACCCCACCAATGTATTTAGTGCGTTACACTGGCGAACATTTATTCCGCTTCCACATTCATACCAGATTGAAAGAATAAAAAATATGTAGAGCATAAATTCTGAAAAAGCCACATTACAATTCACAACCCGATTGCAATTGCGGTTTGTGTTTGTGTATGGTTTTGTGAAACTGATCTTGGTTTGAGCCACAGGTTCATTATTGCTGAATTGGACGTTGGCTCCATTGAGTGAATGGTGTCCCGAGCATGAAAAGTACCACGCTGAATTCGCGCAGGGTTTAGATACATATATACCGGATCAAGGTGCATGTGATTTACGTGCCCTGGATACGCATCGAAGCATGCTAACTCTTAATCCGGCCAACTGCAGTTGTAGACATTTTCCCTTTTCCCTCACGTATTGGGTTGTGTGCGTTAATAGCAGGTTGACTGATAACCTTCAACCCTTACACTTCAACTCTTAAACCTCAGTGTTAACACGGAATAACGCAGAGACGACTGTCAATTGCACGCATTGTTATCGCCATGAACTACGCTAGATGATGACTGGAGCAAACAGGAATCAGCTTCGCTGTCGCTACTCGAAGCATCAGGCCAGACTAAGTTGGGTTTAAATCCTGATCCAAAGCCAATGAGTGTGTTAGCTTGGCTCCATTTAAAAAAAAATGTATCGCGACCGTGTCAAGACAGCAACGGTCACCGTACTGAAAATACGAGGGACAACGGGTTTGACGGTAATGATATATCACTAACTTGCATTGCTCATACATGGAGCATTCGACTGACAATATTGTGGGCACCTCGCACACTGCGATTTTTCTCCTACACGCCAATTTCAAATGGAGATAGCCGAACATATTGGCTGGAGCGACCCTTTGGCGGCGCGCGCGAGCTGCACAGCGGTTAAGTCGATTGCGTTCCCACCGGCGCGACGCGGAGCGCCGCGTTGTGCCCCTGTCACGATTTCAGCACCGCACTGGTGCCCGCTCCGCGTTCAGACGAGGTCCACTGGCAGAGAGGCAGGCAAAAACTGCGGTTGTTTACCTGAACATACAACGAGAAAACACATGCGACGAGGACTGAAAGATCTTACTGGTTGGCAGGACCTTAATGATACGGAACTCCAACTGCTCATGCTCCTGCTGAACAAGGCACAGAAAAAAACTACAAAAAAAACACTTGCACTTCAGTTTTGCGTTGATGACAAATAGAACACGATAGCCTTGCCGTTGTAGAGCTATGTGCTTGTATTCAACTGAAGAAGGAAACAAAAACAGGCGCCCTAACACCTGATCGACACAAGCCCGACCGAATCAGGCGTATGTGAAGGCGAGAAGCACACAGCCTGACACGGGGCACCCTCACGTGTGCAGTGAGTTCACACAGCTCTGTTCAACAAAGTGTGAAGCAAACTTCTATGCAAATGACATTTCAGATATTCCAGTCTGGACCATTCACCGCCCACGTTGCACGGACATTCTTATATCAAAAGTTAGCAAGAGGGTGTCATTTCACACTGGCACGTCTACAGTAGGATCAAAGTGAACCCCACATAGATAAGGTCCATAAAAGCCTTCCATGCCGGACAACGCACCACGCTGCAATAGACAACTCCCACCAGGGACTACACACGACGCTGTATGACACTGCAAGCCATCGTCACCTCTCGCGCTACGTCTGTGAGGCTAGCAGGAGCTAATGCACAAGATAACGCGACATGCCCCCAGCAGATATTTGCCCCAAGGACTACGTATGACGCCGCAACTAGTCTTCGCTTCGCGCACTAGGTCCGTAAAGCTAACGCGAGTTAACGTGCAAGACAACGACACTGATGAAATCCGCGAAAACAAGCGTTCACACAACACCAGCGGCCGGTTTCTCATCTCCACCCTGGGAATGTGTCCCAGCACATCGCAGTCCCACCAGACCTCTCCGCGTGAGTCGCTCCGGTGTCCGCGGCCCGCCTGCTCGCCACCCCACCTGTCCACGGCCGGCGGTCTGCCCGCCGCCCCTACGCGTCGACGCCGGTCTGCAGCAGGTGCAGCGCCTTCTGCAGGTTGACGACGGCCGTCGGCACGTCCTCGTAGTTCAGCGCGCTGTAAGCCAGCTTGCTGTACTTCTGCGCCTTGGCGATCTGGTCGAAATTGAGTGACACGGAGGAGCCGCTGCTGGCGGCCGGCGCCGGCGCCGGCGGCTGGTACGAGCTGGCCGCGGCTGGGGCTGGCTGGTACGGGCTGGCGGGCGCCGCCGGCGGCGGCTGGTGATGGCTGGCCGCCGGCGGAGGCGGCTGAAATCCCATGACGTTGGGCCCCGAGGGACCCGGTCCGGGCTGGTGCGGCTGCTGCGGAACCGGCATTGACACGTCTCCCGTCAGATCCTCCTCTGAAACACAGCACATACATCACATTTGGCATTCAGTGCGCGCCTGAGCGTCGATACGCCGCGTAATTGCTGGGCTGCAGGCAGGGAGCGGGACCGCAAGCCAGGAACTCAGTATTGAAATACATAATGAACCGTGCACGTCGGTGGATAAAACCTGCCGATGGCTCATTATGCTGTCAAATGTGGTACCACACTGCAAAATAATATGCAAGCAATTCAGATGCTTAGCCAAAAAGTGACCAACAAAACCAGGCATTCTAGACTAATGCGTACATACAGTATAGTCATGTAACCATATGTTAAACAATCTCGTAGTCCCAAAGGTCTTGGCTTGGGCAGGCTTAACAAAACGCCCATAGCCAGGTTTGGATATGTCCTCTGATCCACATTTGTTTGTCAACACACCAACCAGGTCTCAGCAAAATAATAAAAGCGTATCCCTAGTCCACTCCAATATGGCCCGTGCATAAACCCCGCCGTGAAAAACGATCACTGACGGCCGCTACGCGCTAAATTGTGGTTGCCTGTGTTTGTGTGAGTGTACGTGTGTATGCGGGTGCGCGCACCCGCGCACGCACCGTCGTCGCCTCCGACCGGGCCGGGCTGTGGAGTCTCCCCTTTCTTCAGACAGCTGTGAATGTAGGCCGCCTTCCACTTGGCGTATTTGCGCTGCTCCTGCACCTCCACGGACAGCTCACCGAACGTCTCGCACACGTCATAGATGACGCCGGCCGTGTAGAACGCCTTGACCACGTTCCTGGCGACGGGGCGGCGGTGACGTCATCACTGACCGGGTCACGTGACAGGGTGAGCTCAGACGTCACGTGGCTGCACGGAGCCAGCCGCGTCCCAGTCACACGGATCGCGACAAGGGTGACGACCGGAACCGGCTCGGTTCCTCAGAGTGAAGTAAAAAGTACTTGTTCAAACAAGTACTGCACTGAACAGAAATGCTGTGTGGCCGCCCCATCTGCAAATGTCTTACAAAGCTGCAACATCTGACTGGTTATACTATGCATAGGTACGAGCTGATCACATATAAATGAAAACAAGCTTCATTAAAATGCAGACTGAGTCCAGTGGCAGCTTACTGTGCTAGGTCATGTGACACAGGTGATGACAGAGATAAGTGTTACTGCATAAACACAAAGTATACAATGTATTATCACGTGAGATGCACCGCACCCTTCCACCGCTTGACTAACTTGTTGAAGTGGGCAGCACGGTCCTCCTTGTCCGCCCAGAGGAAAAGTCGGTTGCCGCAGTTTTCCATGTGGGCCTGGGCCACTACATCATTGGTGATGGCTTCCTCACTGGCACCACTCTGTGCATTGGAATATCATATGCACTGTTAAAAGGACAATGGCATAAAAAAGACTGGTGGAACATACAGCACATGGAAATTCAGCCACCAACTTTGATACTGTTCTATTCACAGCATTGGACTTCATTGAGGGTTACACCACATATACAAAAAAGGGCATAACCCATTCAAGCCATATTAGATGACATTCATGGTAAATGTTTGCCAGTTGTGACTGCAATATTACATTTGGAGAAATGGTTACAGGTTGCACAGTACCAAGTGTCATCTAAAAAGATCTCAAAAGTTTATGACAGCTGTTTTGGAAAGAACTGTCTGATGGATAAGGGACAAATCAAACCACAACACAATCACAGATTATAGACATTTTACATATAACTAATCAGACCTTCTTTGCATTTTCCAACCAGTCCATCAGGGGAAGAAGGATGGCCAATGATTCTGCTGATTTGTCAATCTGTAGGCCATTCTGCAAGGCATACAGGCGACCTGAAATGACAGCATGGAAACTTTGATCAATAAACCTGGGGATCGAATGTGGAGGATTGGGATTAATAGCAGCACAAAGAGAAATACAAAAAACTGCAGTTATTTTCAAACAAATTTACAAAAGCAGGTACAGGCCAACAAAGCACAATGTGATATATTTGGATAAAAATCCACCACATAACATTGTAACATATAAACTCAAGATGCATCTGATACAGAAACAAAAAGGTAGCCAATACAATACAAAATGTAAAATATTCAAGCCATTGTAGCTTCAGAACAGATAAGACCTGATGCCCCCCTCTAAAAATAAATGATTTCTTGTTTGTTTTAACTGACACCCAGTGATTCCTGAAATGCAAAATTGTGGGTTAATATGTCATTAACCAAGAATAGTTAACTGATAATCAAATTAAAACAGGTTAGTAACCACACTAAGCAGGTTAGGCTGGACAAAACAAGGCACATTCATTTTTTAAGAAATGGGGAGAATGCAGAATTGAATCCATAGAGCATGTATAAAATGTAAGCCACATCCTTACATGAAACAAATTCAGCACGGAACATTACGAGACAAGGTTGTGCTTGTGTTGACTTTGAATGAGCACCATGGTACAGATAGCTGTTATAAATTAGATCAAAGTGAGGATTTTCACCTAGCTTTACAATGACTGATTCCATACAATTACCTTCTTTAAACAGAAAACACTGATTTTCACCTAGCTTCACAACTAATTCTATATTATCTCCTTCTTGAAAACAAAACACGTTCACCTGGCTACAACAATCTCAACTGGTGTGTTTAGGGTTACCTCTTTCAAATCATTCGTGAAATCACTGGGAAAACAAACAGATAGGTTACGTGGGTGTCAAAACTGGTCCTCACAAAACTGAGGCATCAAAGGGCAGTCATTGTTCAGGTGTTGATCATTGTTAGATTAGGTTAGGTTAGGTTAGGTTAGGTTTGCCTATGTTGCATTGCATTGGTTATGTAGCATATTTACTTAATATCCCTGTGACATCATGGATGATTTGATATACTTCATCTGTAACACATTCACACGATCCTCATCCCTGATTCTGAGACACATATAGTGACTGTCACTTGCAATAGCTGAATGCTGCAGATCGTTAAAATTGATTTTTCTCTATGTTTATTCAATTTTGTGAAAATAAATATTGCTTTCCAGCTGGCATACCATGGTCAATTTTGACCAGATCTTGTTTGGGCAGAAGAAGTGGGACACTAATTCTTATTTGGGGTGCTTTACCAAAATTTTGTGGCAGAAGCATTTTAACTTGAGTATTGTGGGCATCACAACACATTCTATGAAATACAAAACAGGCAGGATCACACTTGAGGCCAGTGATGTTAGCAAAACTTCCCACAAAAAGGTAACTTACTACCCTATTTGGGGCAGGGTTCTGCCTGCCCCAAACATTTCATTTTGCTTGCTGTAGCTGGCAGACGGGATTGTGTGACTGTGCAAACATCCATAATGCATTTCCTGTACTGCACAAATGTTGCTAGTCCATAATATTCTACATTGGCACCATACAGAAGCGTCTTACCATGACTATACTATTGTTTTCAAAATCATTTTGTCTTCAAGGTATGATTAAAGTTCCTATTTTCTACTGTTTCTTATGTTTCCTCTTATAGAACAGCAATTGATGTACAATGTGTTCCTGTAAAATGAAGTAAATAAATGGTATAGCCCACACAACTTACACCAGTAAGTAACAACTGGATCCCGCCGCTCATGTTCAGCGGCAACCTTCAAGAAATGCTGGATGGGCTTCAAGATGGGGGGTACTGCTGGCAGGTGAAGCGCCATTGTGGGGCAGTGAAGATCAGGGACCAGATGATTGAAGGATCAAATGCCGGTAAATATAGCTTGCGCGCACTGAACCACCAGATTCCCCGCACGCTGCACCTGAACGGGAGCAGCGCCGCAGCGTTAGATAGCCTTGGCTGTGTGCCAATAGCATCGATATTTGTCGCCGCCGCGCCAGAATTGCAATTTTTATGCCTCTGATTTTAGGGTGGTGGTATTTCCAAACATTTGTGTTACGGCCACTCGAGAATACACCACGGGCTTGGTGCAAAGAATCTAAAACTACTACCTGACGCATTACGGATGGATTAGGGAATGCGCGCGGGCAGGAAGCGGCGTGATCGGGCAAATAGATCCGCAAAATCATCGCTGGCTCTTACACTGGGAACTGACCGAGTACAGGGGCGTAGTTCCGCAAAATGATTGAGGAAGAGTGACTGGAAAGCAAGAAATTCCTCAACATACCCGAAAAACACCAACAAACTTGCTCCTCTCCGGATTTGGGCCTTTCTTTTCTCAGAATTGAGGCGAATGGAACCTGAGTTGGGGTGGGGGTGGGAGCTAAATGGGGGCTTGTAAAATGACACTTCCGAAAGTATTAAAAGCAAATTGGTACTGGTTAAGGATAATACTGGGGCGTGTCTTTTTCTACTTTGGAGTTTGTCTTGTGCACAGATTGATGCCTATATTAACACAAGTAATATATATTCTACCTTAGCACTGCCGGTGTCACCACCACATTACAGTACCACTTCGCCGGCACTGTTTCATCTGGTCCGTTCTAATCATCGGTAAACAAATCGCACAGGTTAACAATACGCTTAGATGTTAGACCACCTTATGAATGTATGAAGTGATGTCCTAAAGAGCTTAAACGTACTCCTTGCAGACGCGTCATCATTTTCGTCTGCCCGTTTGGCCATCTCTGAGTGTAAACCGCGGGGTCGGGCGGTGGCGCCGCCGCATGATCTATGAAGACTGCAGCACCAGGCAGGCGCGCAGCCGGAGCCTTGGCAGGGGAGTGGCACTGGGTTGACAAAGGGCCCCCTAACAGCAAAATCCCCCTTCCCCAAATGGACGAATGTGGTCCATTTGCTATAAGGTCATTTTTTATTTTCTATGACTAATATAGAAGCTAGAAACTACCGCGATATAAATTCTGCCTGGACTTCATTGTCAATGGACTGATAGAATCGTGTGTTAACAACACATGGTTCTCATGTGTAAAACGACCGCTTGAAATATGTCACCGGCGCTCTTCCTTTTTACGATGTCCCAGTGGACTTGTTCTAAACCAATAGAACTCAGAAGCCTTGTCAGAATTTCTATCTGGGCTGTACAGAGCTTTTGGGGACCCGCGAATGTAGAACGAAACGGTTTGACAATCTGCATTGATATGGCCATGCCATGTTTGTCCGAAAATGTTGAACATTTTGTCAGAATTAATTAGTGATGCATTTCACTTAACGCAGTTGACGTTGCAATCTTCATTGGCCGCGCAGCGTCGATCTATCGGCTAGCGCTAAGCCGTGGTCAATGGGTGGGCGAAAATGACGACGCATTTGAGACGAGTACCTTTAAGCGCTTTAAAACATCAAACCGCACATTTAGAAGGTGGTCGGGTATGTATTTCACCTGTGTGAATTTTACACTGATGAATTGAACGGATTGACCTTAACAGCAATGCGAAGTGGTGCTGGAATTTAGTAAAAAAAAACTGGGGCAGTAAAAGAAGAATCTCTATGTTTCGTGCTGTTGTAGCTGTCAATATGTCCAGAAGACAACCTCAAAGCTGTAAGAAAGGCAAGCCCAGCCTAATCTCTGAATGGTGCGAATTGATTTCTGAAGACAATCGGAAGCATTATTCCGCGACAGTCGTTCTCACGCGCTCAGCACCCGACGCCTGGTTTTACTTCAAGCGGCCAACGCCGTTCGGTGCTACGGAAACTGCAACCCAGGCCATCGCTGTCTTTGCAGATTGCAGGCGCGCAGGCTCAAACCTTTTGTTTGAATTTTCTGAGGCAAACATGGGATGGCTTCATTCGTTTTTTGGGGCTCATTTTGGCCCATTCTCTGAGACCCCTGGCACAGGACCATGTCATTGGCTCTGTGTGAACGATCAGCATAATTGTCATGCTTTCTTTCACTGACATAGGGTCCGACCAACGCAAGGGGTCCTGTGTCATTCGAGATCCCGCCGCTGTCCCCGTTGAGCAAATATTCCCCTGACCGATTCGAGACCCCTTGTTGACACATAATATCCTGTTAGGCACTGTGGCTCCTGACCAGCACAGAAGCCGCTCATTGTGTCAGGGACCCCGAACATTGCAAATCGCGGACCCCGTCCTCGTTCCTCCTTGGGAAATGGTTCTTGACGGCTCAGGCGAACATGGAGCAGACTGCTCAGCTCCGTGTCGAGGCTCTATGTAATCAGAATAGAGAACCTTGATAAGAGGGCCCTAATAGAAGCCCTCCGACTGAATTTCAGGTCGCAGCACTACGGATGGGGGCCGGGGCCGAGTCCAATCGGGTCCCTGATCTCTGGTCCCGAGAGGCCCTGGCCCCTCTTTGGACCTCCTTAAACAAAGCCCGTGACAGACTAGGGCCACTAACCGTAACATAGCCCCCTGTAATTTCGTTGGGTCACCTGGGCCCCCCTCCCGACCCGTAGTCGGCTTGGGGCCCCTTGCGAACACAGGACCTTCTGTTGGACGTTGTGGGCCCTTGACAGATGCAGGGGCCCCGACTAGCGTAAATCTCTGGCCCCCGTTTTGTAGCTGATTGGGAGGTGGCTCCCCGGCCCGTACCGGTACGGAGCGGACTGTGCGGTACTGATGGCGCCCGGCCGACGTATAGACCCATACCGACTCAAGGTGTCCCTGTTCAACGCAAAGCGCCCCCTAACTGTCATTTGAGGGTCTGTCTACCTGGGCCGGATCCCTGAGTAAGACTCCGACCAGCTCTTCGTGACCTTAGACCATCCAATCAAGCCCTCGATCGTCGGACCCGGTGAGCCTCCAGGCTCTTCGGTCCTCCTCGAACACTATCTCTGGCCGACTTGGGGTCCCTTACCAGCACAGGGTAAGGCGCTGCGGGTCGCCAACTAGTCTAAATCGCTGGCTCCGGCTTTTTCCCTGCTTGGGAAATAGGTCCCCAGGCCTATGCCGCCACCAAACCGACTGTGCGTTGCTGGTTTGTCTTACCGATATACAGGCACTTTTCGATTTAGGGGCCCCTGATCAGCGCGCAGGGGCCTCCGACTGGCATTGGAGAACCCTTTGGTCCCTCAAATCGGCCCCGTAGTTGTAGCCCCCCTGTGCCCCCCCCTCCCCTCTGCCTGCGTTTCTGGCCCTGGATGTCGAGACTTTTGTTGCAAGTCCTGCCAGCGCGCATGTTCAAAACCACGGAACATCATTTTTCACGAATCGATTCCGACTGAATGTTGAACTTTTCCAGACAAACATGGATTGGCTACGCTACTCCAAATATTTTACCCATTTTGGGGTCTTTCACCATCAGGAGACTCTTTGGCAAGCACTTAACCTTCTTCTCCATCCGTTGCCAAAGTTCTTGTTGCACCCCTGTAGCGCACGTAAATCCAAGCACTCGTGTGAGATGAAGCGCCACATTGCCAACTGCCCCACAACTTCGAGAAGAGAGAGGCCCAAATCCAGAGACGAGCTCGTTTGTTGTTGTTTTTTTGGGGCACATTAAGCCATTTCTTGCTGTTCAGCCCCCCTTTCCAACTCATTTTGTGGATCTGTGCTGTTACTGCCTTCGTTACTGTCACTGATCTGTTACGCCTCTGCGCTTGGTCATTTTGTAGCTGAAGAGCCGAAGAGGATTTTACGGATCTGTTTCACCCATCGAACCTGCCGTTGTATACCTGCCTTTTCGTAGTCCGTAATACACTCATAGTGCGGCATACGGTAGTTTTGAATTGTTTGCCCCACGCCCGTGGTGTATTTTCAGGCAGTCATGTTTCACTATACGCGGTCACATTTTCAGACGCGTTTTCAATATGCATTACATACATCAGGAACATTTGAACATACACGCCCACCATCACGTGGGGCCAAAGCGTCACTGGTCACATACGACGATAGGCAGGTAATGCTACTTCAAATTCAGTGAAGGCGCTGCTCTTCAAACGTGACATGTTGTTTGGCAGCGCGTGCATGTCTACTTCCAGTTTCGCAAGCAACTAGCTCCATCTAGCTGGAGCAGCTAGCCTTTTGGCGTGCACTTGCGTGGCGCTCCGCGGCCGACTGCACGTTCGGAATGACGCCTCCCGGGGCTGACGCCGCCACCGAGCGAGGCCGATACCACCACCGGGGCCGGGGCCGATGCCACCGTCGAGCGCGGCCGATGCCACCACCGGGGCCGGGACTTGTGCCGCTACCGAACGGGGCCGATGCTACCGCCGGGGCCGGGACCGATGCCACTGCCGGGGGCCGGGACTGGTGCCGCTGCCGAGCGGGGCCGATGCTGCTGCCGGGACCAGGACTGGTGCCGCTGCCGAGCCGGGGTTAATGCCACCGCCGAGCGGGGACGGGACCGATGTCCCTCGCCGAGCCGGGGCCAGTGCCGCCGTCGGGGCGGGGACCGGCGCCGCTGCCGAGCGGGGCCAACGTCGCCACCGGCCGGGGCCGACGCCACCGTCGAGCGCGGCCGATGCCGCCGCTGAGGCCGAAACCGGCGCTGCCGCATAGCCCCGCTGCTTTCTGCCAGTGATGTTTTTCATAATATGGTGTGCCATGTAAAAAAGCGTGCTGTTTGCCATAAGTCATATTTCAAATTGTCCACACCTTAAACTGTAGCTAAAATCTGTAGCAGTTTGTTTGGTCATCAATACACTCTATCCGTATGAGCTACTCCACTGTCACTCCCGCGTTCATCACTTGGTTTGCTTGCCTGTCACTCACACAGACAAAACAGGTACGGTTGACATCAGACGCTACTGGTGTCTGCATTGTGTCTCTGCCATTTTTCTTCCTATGCAGGTGATGCAATGAAAAAACTCGCAAAAATGTCGGACAATGCAAGCCCTGGGGACCGCTCCAGCGAGGGGAAACGGGTGCATGTGGTAACACTTCGGTGACGTC